TTACTGTCGCAGGTATCGCTTAATTGCTCAAGGGATGGCCAGGGACGTTCGACCTTCGGTGTTGCCGTCGCAACAGTAGTTTTGATAGACATAGTTGACAAAGTATAATCAGGTTGTGCGTTCCGATAGCATCAAGATAACCTAAATAAGATGAGAATTGAATTTTTTCCGTTTGCTGCGCTCCAGGAAGTGACGACACAGTGTGTTAATGGTGAGCCGTGTAACAGGAAACTGATAGGTTTTACCTGTTTTACATCACTATGCGGGATACTTTCATATTTCAGTGAGTCTCAATTTAACGAAATTGAGAGAATTTCGTGGGCTAATTTTTTTTTATTTATCCTTGCTGAATTATCTATGTACGTGTAACAATCACAATTCAGATCATTTATTTATTTATACGCGAATCTATTTCTTGTTTATGGATGCAGTATCAATTCATTGTTACTAAACATTGTATCGAACGTTTCGTATGTCAACTGCAAAAATTAATTAGTATTATGAAATATTTCTGATGAAGTAAATACACAATAAAGGTGACAGATATTAATTAGTTTATCATTGATTCATATTTTCTATCGTTTACCTACTGTACATCGACTGCAGTTTAGTTTCATTCACGAATATGTATCAATATTTTTATTGTGTTATAACCATGTGTTATTGTTTAATATTGCAGTCGAATAGGACAGTATAGTATTAAAAATTTTAATAGATATCCTGGAGGTTTTTCAGTTTACTTTTGCGTACGATTTAAGCATCCGTTGGCAGTACTATTATTGTCTTGCAATTAAATATTGCGAACGAATGAAAGGATCCTCGTTCGACGCAACCTAATTGCAAGGTACGACGGTTCTTGTGGTTTTGCGGAGTTCCACGACGAGACTGGTAAATACTTTTATCAGTCTTATGAGTTTGTCGATTCAATAAGCAAACATGTCGAAATATGTACTTGTCTATTACAAACAGTTCCGAAAAATGCTTCGAAAATTAACAGGTCGAACAACGTGCTCCATTAATTGCAATTGCATTTCTACACTTTGCGAGAATCTGTTTTATGAAAAATTACTTCAAGACTTTTAGCGGATATTTATTTCATAAATTCTTTACTTCAATTGCAACAAACAAAAAAGTTAAATAAACACATCTTTCATTTGCTTAGTATTTTAATAAATTCAAAGTAATATTAGAACACAGTCTTAAATTTGTCTACAATTCTTACTATTTTGTCTTACAATCGTTCATTTTTGTCATAAATTTTTCATAATTTATACTTTTTTTTATTACAATTTTTTATTTAAATCACTGTACATCCAACAATATATTAATCGAATACGAAAATTGAAATTTTTTAAGAAAAAAGGGAAAGTTGGTAATAAGAAAACACTTTTGACAGATCATTTTTCAAAAGGACAAATCGAATTCAAATTAAAAGCATGATCAAGTAAAATTCATGTGTAAAATTTCCCATCCGCAACACTTTTGTAGTAATCATTCGATTACATGAAGTATTTGTGACGAGAATTATTCTAGTACAACAAATTGAATCGATAAACTCCGATAACGATTGATTCACTGAACAAAATGGCAGTCGATGGAAAACGAACGGTATTGTTTACTCACGTTTGTTGTATAGCCAACAACATTCCGCATAATTGTCACAGGTAAGCGTATTTTGAGTGCACCGGTTTATTTCTACGATACAATTGACGTTCTAGAAACCGGGGTCTATTCCGAGTTCACCCTAGAATGAAAGAGAGAGAGAGAGAGAACGCGACCATGCCTAACTGCATAGTGGAAATAGATTAGTATGTGTGCATAGATTTCGATACAATATTCTTTTCGTCACTGTTTATCGATCCTTTTGTCGCGAAATGTCCGTTCACAAAAAACAGGACGGCATGAATTGGCCTACCGAACGAATAATAACAGTCGAAATGATATTGAAATAAGATAAGGAACACTAAAATAAACTATAGATTAACAAAATAAATACGGCAATGTAAATATTCATTATTTTAGCGAACAAGTATGTAGCAATTAGAACAAAATAAATAACATTACAATAAACTGTAAATAAAAAAGAAATGCGGCAATTTAAACGAAATTAATTTTATAATCGGTATAGTAGTAGTATATAGTAGCCATAATTAGAGGATAATTTGAAACGAGAATTTGCAGAGCTGTCTCTTGATATCTTTGGCAAAAAACATGTTGACACGGAAATGGTTTGCATCACTCAGATAATTTCATTTCAACTGACCGGCGCAGTTCGATCTACATAACTGCATACACTTTGAATAATCTGAAATGTCAGAGAGAAACGTGAATGTACTATAGCGGATGCTGTAAACATTACTATTATTTTATATTTTAGAATGTTTTGAATAATTACATTAATTTTCCAAAAACACAAGTTATACACTTGATGATTAAAATGTTAGCGCTACTTTGTGCAAGTTGGCGCGATTTTACATTAAAATTGCAGAACTCAACTTTAAATTTAACAATTCAATTCCAAATTCAACGACTCAATATTTAATTCAACAACTCAGTTTAAAATTCAACAATGCAATTTCAAATTTAACAATTTTTAAAGGAAAATATAGGAGTCGTGTAATTTTTTCGGTGAAGTTCTTACTATTGCAAATTAAAAATATACAAATATACACTATACGAAATATTATTAATCAAATGGACAAATAATAGATTTTTCATACTATGGCTCCAACAATTTAATCGTTTGCTGTACCAAAAAAATCTAAATATAGAAACAAAAAGATTTACTCATTTATGTTATCAATTTAATAAAGATTGTTACTATAGTGTAAATCTTGCCTATAATCCATTTTATTATTTATATCAAGATATTTGTTACGAATGAAAGTAATATTTCGTTTCAAATAAAAATGATAATTTGTATCGGATGAAAATAATATTTCATTTCGAGTGAAAATGATAATTGCTTTCGAATGAAAATAATAATTTGTGTTAATCGAGAGTATCTAGAAATGTTTTACCAATTGGTGTGATCACTTTGAAACGAATGCAGGCGTCTAATTTGTTGATAGAATAAACAGATGCTGTCATAAACGATTTTGCGTTCTCTCAAAAAATCCAACGGATGTATATATGTATATTATGCCTTATCATTTGCGAGATAAGTCATGGTGACCGAACAGGTAATATTATCTTTTGGTGAGAGAGAGAGATAACTATGGATCATAAATACTAAATGGTACGCAGCGTGTACTCAATGCATTAAGTAATTTTTGGAAGAATTAAAAAATCTTATCTTTATAATATACTTAATCTTTTACTTCGAATGTGCTCTTTAAACCATGATCTCTTTACTTGGCACACCATTCAGCAGTAGCTATTTAAGTTTTCAAGAGTCTACGCTTTACACAGAAAGAACTCTTAATTAACTTTCCTTTGATGGAAGTTGAACAAAAGTTGGTTCCCTTTGTCAATAATTCTACTATTACTTCTAAGTACTTCTAATAATAAAAATGATTTATTGAAAATATTTGATTGGAAGAAATTCATTTTTGAATATTTTTCCAATAGTAATCTCTGCTGACACTGAATTATTGGTTAATATGGATAATGCAATTAAGCTTACTAGTTTTGTAACATCGATATTTACATAAATGAATTCTGGAAATTAGTTCGAGATCATATAATTAACGCCTTTACAAATTTTAATTTGACAATATTTTGCCAAAGACACTTCTTAAAATTAAAATTCAATATTATTTTCTAAGTTTAATCACTTCTTCTCAATTGACTTTTCAACTTTTCCTCGATTCATTATGAAATTAATTTGCTAAAAATAGATACATCCAAAGACCGATAAAAATAGTGTACTAGTCGACAAATTAAGACTTTGGCGACGTTTCGTTCGTTAAGACAAGTAATTGGAAGGGACTCTTGCGTATTACAGAATCAATTAACTCTTTCGTCCTCTATATGATAACCCTTAAACAAACACCCTGTTTTTAAATGTGTATATTAATAGATCTCAAAAATCTCGGATCCAAAATTCTTTACAAAACAAGATTCAAGAAGAGAACATCATTGTATTCTTTGTATTGAATCGAATAATCAAAAACTTCAATCAAAGATGAACATAAACTGATAACAACAATGAAAACAATTAAATGAAATGGTAACCGTTAGCTCCAACAATAATTGAAAATTCGACGAACCTTAAGGTTTACTATTACTAGCTTTATTTTTTTAATTTATATTTAATGAGATTATAAACATACATTTATGGAGAATTAATTCAATAAAGTTTCTTTCTTTCTTATGATAACAATCGCTAAAAGTCTGAATAAATATATTCTGCTGTTTTTATCAATTGATGTGAAATAGTTGTTTTTAGTGTTCCGTAAATCTAAATGTCAATTAATAGTAATTCTGCGACGACAGAAACTCGAGCACCGATAACGAGAATTATTTTTAGTTGGAACTGACAGATACGCGACCTGTACGAAATGTATTCAACGAAACAAAATTAACGGCCTTGGTCGTGTGCTTTTTTTAGAAATTCAATACTAAATTCGGCTATAATGCGGCGCTGAGAGAGAGAGAGAGAGAGAGAGAGAGAGAGAGACGCTATCGCGTCTTATTATCAAAGTATACCCAGATACTGTACTATAGAACGGTGTATGTACCAGCATGAATCAACTTTCACGCCCACTTCCCAATTCACCCCCGCGTACTTTCAACAGCAACCCCAATGTTTCGTATCGAAATCATCCGATGGGACACAATGCAACGGTTAAATATTCCCATAGCGTATATACTCAAACGTGTATTCACTGTGTTACAACTTCTGCAGGGTATCAATTACAAAGACGGGCGAACAGTAATCCGATAATTTCGGATCTATCATATTAAGCAGCTAACATGTAAATCGCACACTGCAATCTTCATCTATCAAACTGCAGGATCAGCAGTTTTCAAATCGTAACGTGCTCTTATTTAAAAATAAACTTCTACGGCAGTTAAGATTGCAATAAAACTGAATTAGTATGAAACAATAGCGTTTCTAATATTTCATGTTCACATATTTAAAACATGATATATTTGAAATTGCAATGATGAAACAGTTTTGCGTATAGTATTTGTTGCATCGAAAATATAACAAAATTGTAATAGGGAAAACTGAATTACTATGATACAACAGTATTTCTAATATTTCATGTTCACACATTTAAAACTCAATATATTCGAAATTGCACTGAGGGAACAGCTTTGCGTATAATATTTGTTTCGTCGAAAATATAACAAAATTGTAACAGGGAAAAATGAATTACTATGATACAATAGTGTTTCTAATATTCCATGTTCACACATTTAAAACGCGATATATTTTAAATTGCACCGAAGGAACAGCTTCGCGTGCAATCTATGTTGCATCGAAAATGTAACAAAATAGTAACAGTGTATAAAGCAGAATTATTGTGACACCAATAGTGTTCGTAAAAAAATTTCTCGTTCACACATTTAAATAATTTTAATAAATCATTTTAAATTCCACTAAAGAAACGGACGCCCAATTGTCGCGCATTTGTTGCACTGAAAACGTAGCAATCTAAAAAATACGCTAATCTAAAGAACACTGTACTAAAAATTATTTTGGCTATACTACACTGCAATTTACACATTATACAATACTAACTGAAACGTCGGAGGAATATCCTGAAAACTCGAAGAAAGCAACGTCCTCGAAACCGCCCGCACGAAACATCGTTATCAGAGACAATAGCACCGACAAAGACCGATACCGAGAAAACTCGATCGACCGTTGCCCCAGGTAGCGGCTATCGATTTTCATCAAAAAAATCCGTAATCTCTCGTTCGAAGCCGCATCAGTCAGACTGCATTTGCGAAACCGCGCCCACAGGTCAAACACGGATCATCGTTTGTTTCGGCGACATCCAAAGCAGAGAAGAGACAACATCGTTTCGTAATTAATACAACAAAGCCCGAGACCGAATATCGAACGGAGACATTGACCGATAAGCTTTGCAGTGACAGAGACAACGATTCCGCGAACCCTATTAATAAATTGCTGTGACAAAACGATAAAGTTCGAACAGCTTCCCAGCGAAATAAGTGAAACAATTCGCGGAGGGCAACGAGCAATCGAGGAGCTGCGACGATCGCGAATCGACGTCGACGATACAGAGAATATTGAAATAATTAAGAGACTTACTGTTCGAGAAGCATACTGAAGAACGGCACCACGTGTTTTCTTTTCGGCGAAATATCAGTAGCAGTGCACCACGAAGATGCACCCCGATGATGCACCCGCCCTCGGTCACATGTCCAAAACGTTCGGCCGGGCACCACCTACGCACGAAATTTATTTATTCCCGATCAGGCAGTTCATGTTGCAGACGGCTGGCCTAGCCTGTCGGTTCTGTTCTCTCTCGCTGTATCCTACTCCTACTCCACCTCTTTTTCCGCCTCTTCCTCTGTGCCACCTTGTCCGTTCTCCTATTCTACCAGCACCGGGTGTGCGCAACTCCTTTCCCCGTGGAACGCACGCCACCCCCTTCGCCCCATCGCCGACACCCCCGACTTTATCGGTACTGAACCCGCGCACGAAAGCACCACAGCGAAAATCTATATGGGCCGCGTCTGCGCCCTCGTTTCTGCGATACGATGGGGTGAATTCGCATGCTCACGCCTTTTCCACGGCATCGCGATTTTCTGTGCCGTGAGGAGGTGTCCTGACGCGACCCGACCGGGGGTCCTTGCACCCTGCCGGGACCCTGGACCCCGAAAATCTATGGTGCCCGATTGTATTTCCGTAAGGCCACCTGTTATTTCTTGCGAAATCTTATAATTGTTCCGCACCAATGAAAATGAAGGAAACCATAACGTGATCACGTTCATAGACATAATATTTATTCATAAAAAAACAACGCGGATTTATGTATCTTAACAAAATGCAGGTGCGAAATTTCCACAAGGCCGCGCGATTTTTTTGAGTAAATTAACAAAAATTTCTTCTATATTAAGTAATCAATAGTTAGCATAATTAACATTTCTTCGGATTAACGTCGAGTATACGATTTATTAATTATTGATAAAATCAAATTACGAAAAGTAATTTGTCCGTATAAATCGGTTTTTATATAAATCGTTATTCATATAAATCGTTATTTATACAAATGAATGAATGAATCGTCATTTATCTAAATCGTGCCAGTATATACTGATTTAAGAAAAGAAACTGACGCCGCAATGAGTCGTAACCTCGGTAGTGGGCCGTTAATTATTTGGGCTGCATCTGGAGCCAATAAAAAACGGTAATCTGTTAAATTAATCATGAAGCGAATTCGACACAATACACAATCAATGAAATTGAGAATGACAATTTCGTTTTTCAGCATGATTACGCCGCAATTCATGCACGAACACAATCCAAAGCAGATTTTGACACAGCCAGGTTGTTCATTATATTGTCCAATTAATTGGGCCATTAATTGTCTAATTAATTGGACCATTAATTGTCCAATTAATTTGATCCAATCGAAAAGCTTTGGGGAATAATTTCAAGAAAAATATATGGCAATTGCAAACAGTTTCCGAGTTACGGACTGCTGTGAACGAAGCGTGGTCATCTATCGAAGCGAAAACTTCTCGTAATTTCATTTTATCAATGCCTAATCGAATCTTATCAACACCTAATCGAGTTCTAGTTGGGACAACAACGGTTATTCTACTTTGAAAAAGTACTTTCGAACAAATCTACCGGTTAGTACCAAAAGCAGACGAGTCATAGAAAAAGTTGATTGAAATGTACACGTACTAGAATATTGAATTGGTCGGAGATTTAAAAACCGGTTTCTAAGTCGACTAGCGTGGAAGTCTAAGGGACTAAGTCGATCAGAGTGTGGAACATGTTTTGAAATTTATTCTCAAAAATCTTATGACTAGTAGGGTAGCGGCACAGATTACTGTGGGGTGACCAGTTTCTGTGCGTTTGATTTATTTTCGGGGATAATTAACTTTATCTTTATCGAATAAGATATTTTTTTATTCAAAAATAAACGAAATAAAGGAATAAAGAAATTTGATATGTCTTCTTCGTGTTATTAAACACTATTTCTCAACAGCCTCCAGTGTAAGTCATTTTTAGTGCAATAACGATGATCCGCGCAATTACTCGCGGGTGTTATTAGAACTGACCTTTCCGCTGCCTGTTACAAACTGATTTAAATACGACAGATATATTATTATTTTGTCGTATCGTTGCAACGTAAACAAATACAATGGGTAGGGAATGTATAAGGAAGTGGGTACTATTGGAAAAAGTTGTAGCAAACGTCAAATGACATCGGTAAATTGATGCTGACATGTCTTGCCTTTTAAAGCTAACAAGACTAAACTGATTTTGTTTCTTCAGAATTTGTGTGCTTTGAGTAAAAAAAATGGATTCAATCATTTCGTATACAGCATTGCTATAATTTTAATCATTGTAACATTAAAAATGTGAAACTCATCATTTGATCGATGTTGATAGCTTTAATATTAATTTTGAAGAAAATATTTTCAAATTTAAGAATTTGTTCTACATCAATTGCGGAAGTTATTCGAATGTTTTTATTTTATGTAAAACGGTTCTTTAGGCATTCTTTATAACATTATTATTTGCATTATTATTATAGAGACATTCTTAACGCATCAATTTTCTCGATTGTTATTATTATTCTCCGTAATTTAATTTTAAAATGAGTATAGGATTTTCAAAACGTCTTTTCTTGTATTATTTTCAGTTATTTATATTATTATTTATTATTATATTTATTATTATTATTTATATTATTCTTACCAAAATGTAAATTTGTTCTTGTCAATATTAGGACATCTTCTCAGGTTCTTAAATGCATTCTTACAAATAATTTAAAAAATTGATTCGTTGCTCTATCATAACGG